AGCTTCACTTCAGCCTGGTACACTAGGGGCCCCTTTTTCTTCTTGATAAAGGCAGTTTCGATGTCCTGGCACTTATTTTCGATTACAGGTAGACACTCAAAATTATTCGCGGTTTTTTAAATTAACTGATGGCGGGTGAAGGTTCGTGTCTATCAAATCGATCTCTCGATCTCTACGATCCGATTCCTTCTCTCTCGTACCTCGTGCAGACATGCGCGAGGCCTTAGGTAGGGTCAACGTGGTGTATTTAGATATACCGCGAATTCTGAATATATATTCATAAATCAACATCGTTTTTGTTGATTTCGCAAAATTGTGTTTAATTTAACAAAATAAAAATGACCAAAATCATTTTGTTGGTGCAACAAAACTTTTTTTTCCGTGCGGTACACATCAGTGAAGAAAAAATAACACCAGTTCACACCAGCTAACACCCTTGGGTGTCCCTTGTGAGGTCTTGATTATTTTAGTGAGAATTAAAACTGATATTTTCAACATCATCATACGGTATTATTCGTTCTTATATACAGTCAAGGACTACACTAGAGTACCTAATGCTAATTTGATCGGTTCGTGTTATTCAACCCTGTAGATATAGCCAAACTAAAAAATAGTTCACATGAATGAAATAAAAAGAATGTGTGAATAAATACACAACACATTAACACCTCCGTGCTCATCATATTCTTTGTTGTGTATTTATCAACACACTTTTATTAATTCATTTCTGGCTACTCCTTTTCAGTTTGGGTATCTATGAAAGCGTGTTTCTTAATTCAGTATCTTGAACTACTGTTTATTTTCTGCTTCTTTCTAGTCTGGCTATCTATATAATAGCGTTTCAATTCACTTTTCTCTACTTGGAGGTACTCGATTTTCACGAAAGGATCATAACCTCCGATCTCGAAAACCCCATGATACAAATTTTGAATAGAATCGGATCATAATTACCAAACTCGTCTGCCATATTGAATCCGTTATCCTGAATTTCCCAATTTTGACGAGAGAATCATAGCCTCCGATCTGGATAACCTTCAGATACAAATTTTGAATAGAATCGGATCATAATTACAAAACTCGTCTGCCATATTGGATTTGTCATCTTGATTTGTCCAATTTTGATAAAAGAATCATAACCTCCGATCTCAAAAGCTCCCGGATACAAATTTTGAATGAAATCGGATCATGATAAAAGAACTCGTCTGCCATATTGGATCCGTCAACTTGAATTTCCCAATTTTGTCGAAAAAATCACATAATTTTCGACCCTGAAAACTCCCAGATACCAATTTGAATAGAATCGGATCGTAATTACAAACCTTGGCCGTCATTTTGTAGCCACCATTTTGTTTTCTGTCTAACAAAACCTTCATGATGCATTGTCACCAGAATAATGTACACCTGCAGATGCCATATTTCAAATCAATCGGACGTTTTGAAGTGGGTCGAAAATACGTTCCAAGATTTCGTTTACAAACATACAAACAAACATACATAACAGGGCTTTCATTTGAAAACTTACCACCCTGCATATCTTTTCATCTGCGGAGATTACAGTTTTTTTCGATTTTATTTCCCGCTCAAACCGATATTGAAAGAATTTTGAAAAATTTGTTGTTTCCGGAAAAATCAATTTAATGATTCTTCCAAAGGGTGGACTCGTCAATCGACCCCCCCCCCCATTCTCCCAAAATCATTATTTACCCGAAATTCCAAACGTTTTTTTTTATTTGACCGCTTAAAAAAAATTTCACGCCTTTCGATTGGCAAAAAAATTTCATTCGACATGTGTCCTCACATTTTTTTTTTGTTAAAATTATTGTTATACATTCGCATAAGCATCAAACAATAATTAGTACTTTTCGAATTATTTTATCGAAATTTTACAAGATGCAAAAAATACTCAAAAATGATTGAACACTTGAAGAAAAATAGATAGGAAGTCATTAGCGCACGTACAAAAAAAATATGGGGGTAAGTGTGTACTTGACCCCCAGTATTTTGAATATTTGCCAGTTATTTCCTGTTTTGTTCTCTTCACACGATGTAACTCTTTGTGCTGAAGTGATGTACCGATTTTGAGATTAATATCTCATTAAATACGCGAGTAATTAGGAAAAAACTGTTTTTAATTTCCAACTTTGACACCCTGTATATCGAATATGAAGGGCTGAAATGAAAAATGGTATTTAGAAACACATATTGTTTTTGTTCAAGGAATATATGGTTAATGGATTGACCTCCTTTTAGCAGACACCCTGTATAACTTACCGATTCCCAAATTGAAGTTGTAAAGGTATAGACTCACTGGATAGTATTAATAATAATAATATCATTTATTCGTGAATATCATGATAAAACAGCAGATATGAGATACATAAATATAAAAAAGTTATAAATATAAATAACATGAATAAATGACAATACTCGATAAGTGATAAAAACACTTGTTTCGAGAAACATATAATATAACTGATAACGATTAACGCGATCTATATAATATTACAAAGAACAAAACAATATATAAATCATGAAAACCATAATATCATATATAAAACGATGATATGAAATCAAATTCACATTGCATAGGTGACTCACCGACATTGGTAACTCTGGGATGTTATGTTGAAATAGGTTTTTTAATGGTCATTCATAATATGATGATAATAATGATAATAATGATGTATACAATTGATAATAATTAGAATAATATGAAAAGTAATAAAACGTTACCAAGAATACATTATGCGTGGATGAAGTATCAATAATATTTCCTCTCAATTGTTGCATTAATTATTACAGATCTTGATGTTTCATGTACACACTCTTTTAATTCTCTTTCGAACAACTTGATATTTTATATGTTTGAAATGTTCAAAATCAGGCCTAAAAATGAACTGATGATGCTTATTCGTTCAAAATAGTTTATTGATGGAATATTTGAACAAACGCTTGACAGTTGGAATTGGCTTGTCTGGTTTGCATAACGAAGCGGTGTTGAATAGAAACTTAGTAGGCCTTCAGAACCAGCATAGATCACCTCCTTTGAATACGAACAACGAAAGTTGATGATGCCCTCTTGACATTGGGCCATGTGACAAAAACCATTTTTATGCCAAAAAGTAGTGATACTTAGTGGTAGGTACCTTTCAATCTATATTTTCCTCTACCTCAACATAGCTTGTACACTTCAGAAGCTATAAGGAGAAGGACAGGAAGAAATTTGACGTCCTCATAGTATTTTGAAATCGAAACATTTCAATGCTCATGAAAAATTCGGTGTAATTCTTTCCTTCGTCACTCCATTCTGTTTTTGTTGTATATTAATGCTTTGTCGACTGTCAACGTACCTTGGAAGTTTACACTATTCGCTGATGACACACCACACTATTTTGGCGGCGTGCCAAGAACAGTAGTGAACCCAAGGAGATTATATACAATGATATCCCAAACCCTATTCCCAAAACGTCCCTTGAAATGTATTATTTTTCAATTTACATATATTGTTTTTCTTTTATGTGATTCTGATAGTGATGCAGTTACATATTCTGCCTACTACATTCATAGTGATAGAAAGAGAAAAGCGTGAAAATTCAGAGAAATGAATATTTCACCATGTTTCATACAGGTATAGATAGATAACGTTTAATTGACTACTTATACATAAAGTTAATGTGTGTAGCAAGTCATGTGAAGATAGATAGGTATAAAAAGAGGAATATTTTCAACTACAGTGACAAACAAACGGTAAGACTACAGATAAAATCAAAATAATAATAAAAAAAATAACACACAAAGTATAATGGTATCACCCACAGTCACGACGAATATTAAAATATACATAATATAAACACAGTAAATAACTTGTTCACGATATTAGATTATGACTATCGAAAAAAGCTAGTGGTGCCTCCATGTAGTCAGCAACAGAGTAGAAACAGTGTAAAAGTATAGATACTCTTTCTCTAATTGCCTTTTTTTGTAGAATAAATGCTTTCACAGATTTAGTTGAGTTTCCCCAAAGCAACGTTCCATAGTTGAGATGGGCATGAAAGAGTGAAAAGTAAGACGTTAACAATACTTCTTCACTCAAAATCTTCTAAAGTTGACGTATCAGGAATAATTGACGGGACAATTTTCTGCATAATTTTTCAATGTGAGGAGTCCATTTCAGTGAGTCATCCTTCGCTAACCTTCGGGTCAGACGAGAAAATTATTGTTTGTGTTTTATTGGAATTTAGTTTCAGTTTATTCGGTATAGGCCATTCTTTGGCATTGTTCAAGATTTCCACATTTTCGGACTGAGTATGAGTCTTGTTTGAGTTACAAATCGTCGCATCATCTGCAAATAGAATACATCTGTTTGGTTCCATATGCATTGGTAGATCGTTTATATACACAATAAACAAGGCCTCTGAGCCAAAACTGAGCCCTGTGGTACACCATTTTTGATTTCCGCGAAATCAGAAGAATTATCCCCTCGCATTGCACACTGGATTCTTTCACTCGAGTAAGATTTGAAAATATTTTGGGCTACACCCCTTATACCATAAGAGTTTAGTTTTTCCAGTAAAATGCTGTGAGACACACAATCGAAGGTCTTGCTTAAGTCACATAGCATAGCAGCTGTCAGTTGACCTTCTTCAAGGCCATTGACTATGTCTCTCACGAAACAAGCTAGTGCCTGCACGTTTGATCTTCTAGATCTAAATCCATATCGATTTTCGTTGATGATTAAATTATTTGTTTCAATCAATCGTTTTTTTAAAACAATTTCGAATATTTTCCCGATTATTGGAGTTATCGATATCGGTCTATAATTGTCGGCTGAATCCACTTCTCCTTTTTTGAATATCGTTCGTTATTTTCATAGAATCCGGAAAGATTTCCTTAGCAACACAAAGATTCATCAGTTTAGTTAGTGCAGTCTCCTTGATAATGCTCGTGTTCAGTTCGTATGAATCCATATAGTTCGAGGTTTTGAGTTAGTTGCATTATGGCATCCTTTGTCTTATTCTATAGAACAGGTGTGAGTAAGAGTGACTCCTTAGGTGTTGATAATTTTTTCGAAAAATCAGTAGCTGATCTTTCGATTGGTTTTGAATCATTAATTACTTCTTCAGCAACAGTTGAGAAGAATACATTGAATTCATCTGCGTTTGGTATACTGCTTTTAACTCTATTTTCTTCAAAATTTATAATTTGAAAACTAGCTTTAGAATTTGTTATTGTCGTATGCTGATTTTGTAGAAGCTTGAATTGCTGCATTATACTTTTTTTTTGTACCTTATGTAGATATTTCTATCCTCATCATTTTTTGTGCAGTCACTATCTGTTTTTATACTATCAAAATATGTTCTTGTATCATTTCGATGAGTACAGTGTACTGATGCATTTTCCGTGTTAAAAACCGGACCATCCTGTATATATTACGTTCCTGCAGACAACAACACATCGTCCCACCATAGCCAACTTTCTCAACCAGCACGTTCAGCGAAAGTAGAAACAATCGATGCAAGTCGCACTAATCATCAACATCAACTCGAATGGTTTGAAAAATTGGCTGGAGTTTCATTTGTGCTCCATTGGTTTTATGCCGAATAGTCACCAACATTTTTCGATTTGAAGTTCTAGTACTGTCGATCATGGCTAGTTCACCGGTTTCTAGTGGAAGTGCGAGTGATAGTGTCCCATGTGGAAAAAAAGACTTGGTTCATCTCAACAGGATAGCCAGGAAACCACCGGTTGACATCGAATTCCAGGATTTGATTTACTCCATTCCTGATTCGAAAGCTAAAGGAGGTTAGTGGTCAGCATAGATAGGAGTTCGAAAATAACCGAAAGTTTAGGGAAAATAACAAAATTGAGATGTATATACAGGGCTTCCTGTTTCAATGTTGATACCCCCTTAATATTTTTCGTTTTTCACTCATTCGAGAAAATTCAAAACTGGTATATAATTTTTATAACACTAACACAAAATTGCTCTTGTTTTACTGAGTTCGATACATCAATGAGGTACTTTGTATGTCATCAATTTTATTTCCGTATCTGATATCACAATGACTTCATTGTGTTATTGTTTCAAAAAAATCTCATCGCTCATGGAACGTCAAATTGCAAGCAATGACAGCTCTGTATAATAGATGAGCATTATTTGACAGGAAATCAGATGGCTACAAGCCGATGAAATCGAAAATGTCGCTGTTATCTGTTACAGCCGTAGAATAATTATAGTGTATAACTTGCACGGAATGCTAATTTCCTACTCGAATGATTTTGCAGCATTTGCCTATGGCTCATGCTGCAAACTTCATTCTCGTAGGAAATCACTATCATTTCGTGCTCGTTGAACAATATACTATTTTCTACGGCTACAACAAAAAATCGGTCTTGTTTAACTGTGTTCGATACATCAATGAGGTACTTTGTATGTCATCAATTTTATTTCCGTATATCAGATACACAATGACTACATTGTGTTATTATTCCAAAATAATCTCATCGCTCATGGAATGTCAAATTGCAAGCAATGACAGCTCTGTCTAATAGATTAGCATTACTTGACAGAAAATCAGATGGCTTCAAGTCGAAGAAATCGAAAATGCCGCTGTTATCTGTTACAGCCGTAGAATAATTATAGTGTATAACTTGCACGGAATGCTAATTCGCCTATAGCTTATGCTGCAAACTTCATTCTCGTAGGAAATCACTATCATTTCGTGCTCGTAAAACAATATACTATTCCGTACGGGTTTTACTTATATTAAATATACAGGGTATACAAAAATGAGAATATTTTTCAAATGTAATGTCTGGTATTATACTTGATAGATTTGAATTCCTTAAATTATTCTGATTTTGGATATATAAATACGAAGGTTTCTGTATCATCAAAATATACAGATCATTCCATTAAACCTAGTATATTGCTGTATACTCTGTATATTTGAGGAGATAATGCAACACCATGTCAATATGTTTGAAACCAGTACGAAAAAAAGTATAAAATCAGTTTCGATTTTTTTTTTGTATGGGTGAGAAAGAAAAATGAAAAAGGGGGGTTCACATCGATAAAATTATAGGCTTCTGAATTTTTTTTATCGCTTGATTGACATATTCGACGATTTTATTGTTTCAATACGAACATGCGAAATGTGACACCTCATTCTAATTGTTTATACAACAGTATGGTTTTTTCGAATATTGATTTATACGAGTGAACCAAAAGTGTATCGAGATAATCCAGAAGGGGTAAAAGAATTCACAGTCACAACTCCACCACATAAACAATTCAATAATGTCCAACGGTCATGGACAAAAGGACATATACTTCGAAGGATTAGTCCTTCATCATCAGCAAATTTATTCTCAGATATTCTTACAGATTTCCTTTTTTTATTTTATTCATTAGGATTAATCCTTCATCATCAGCAAATTTATACTCTTATATTCTTACAGATTTTCTTCTTTTAGAAATTTACTGGTCATGAAGGGTTAATCTTCCAAAACATGTCCTTCTGTCCATGACCGTTGGTTATTATCGAATTGTTCATCAAATTGATGTAATTCATCAATTATGATGCAATGTGGAAGCAGGGCAGTAGATACTTCTCTAACGTTTTCGAGAACTTCGGGAGTTATTCCGGAGGTTTTCATGTCCTCATCTCAACTTTTCATGTACTATCATAATTGATATTGAATTGAAATAGATACAGAGGTTGGTTGAAAATCTTTATTCGGAACCACCCTGTACCTATTTCGATCAAATATCAATTGATAGTGAATAAAAAGTTGGGATAGGGACATAGAAACCGTTTTGACCAATTATGAATAATTTCGACACAAAAAAATCGTAAAGTAGAAAAATCTCGATTTTTCACACCCTATATCTCTGTTATTGTCACTGCTTCACCCCAAGTGTTATGGGTCAATGAAATCAGCTCTCCAGGGAAAATCTGAAAATAATATAATATACAGGGTGTCCTATTCGAAAAATCAAAGTTGTTGCCACACTTTTCAATATAGGTTAGCGGCAACGTCGCAGTGCTGACAATATTTTAGATCGATAGAGCACAACTAATTATCCTAGACACCAAATTTCCAGAATGATCCAAGTTATACGTTCTCCAGAAACGTCTGATGTGCCTTCCACCGTGAATCAGCCTGTATACATGATATTTCGACTAGTTCGGTTTGCTTGATCATAAGCGATTTGAATATTATTATGAATAATATATCAAACAATTCAATGATACCTACTACCTACATGACTGAGTTTAAATTGGAGTTTAGAAATGTTTTTAATATATTTTTTCTCTAAATAGAAGACTCTACGACGTTCAATTTCGATTCTCATGAGTTGCAGAGCTCTGCAAAATGAAGTTCACCAAATGTTCATTCATTGTAACAGTTTCAACCTTCAATACAAAATAATGTTGATTGACAGTGTTGATACAAATTGAAATGATCCTTATGTTGGATAGACGAACACGAGACCCCAAAAAAAAATTGGGTGTCACATGGCCCTAGTTTGAAAAAATCGTCCCTATGAATATAATGAGATGGGACTCCAAAAGTTCCAACTAAAGTGTTTTTGAATTTTTCTCAAAAGTCGCCTTTTTTGGAATAATGAAGTCATTTAATACATTTGTATCATATTGAATAGATGGAAACCAAAACAGGTAGATATAGGTCTCTACCTGACCTCCATGAAAAAAATCGAAATGATTTGTTTTTCAATTAAGAATTGGGAGATTTCTGCATTCTTTGATGCATTCCTCAGAGCCAGGGCCGTAACTAGGATCATAACGCTTTTCAGCTTTGAGCGTCACATTTTGTGACACCTCCTCAATAATTATGAGCACAAACACTTTTAGTTTCCTCCACTAACAAACTTGTGAATTCTACAAAAATGCAGCGTCGTTTTATTGAATACACAATAACCCTCAGCCTAAACCTATTCAATGTTTCCGTAGCAACTGCATCGAAGCTCACTTGTGCTCAGTTGACGACTGGAACGAAGTAAATACCATGAGAAGAAATTCAGGAAGTCAACAACGTCGTTCAAGATGATTTTTTAGTGAAAAATAAAATCTTGTATGCACCACTAGCGTTATTAGATCCTAACGCCCATCTTGCAGCATTCATCCCTCGGGCCAAAGGCCTTGGGGTGAATGTTACCCTCCGGTCGTTAGGATCTATATAACGCACTTGGTACTTAAATGACTATTTAGCGTGTTTCATTTGAAAAATGAAGTTGCTAGCATTTCCAGAAAAACCGGAAGTCCGTCATAAATTGGATTATAATGTCATCAAATTCGAAATGGTTACTTACATAGTTGTACCAAATTTCAGAAAAATCCGTTCACGGATGCAGAAGTTACAGGGGTGGCCTGATAACCTGTGTCACCCGGTATAGTTGGTTTTACAAGATATTTCAGGAACGGCTGGAATTTTTCTAGATTGCAACACGGCATATCGCAGAGGTCTGATTCGCGTACCTTTTATCTAATTCAAAGGAATTTTCAAATTTATATTGTTTATTGTTATATCTTACTAATTATTGTCATCAAGATGGCACCTGTCATATAATATCATAACATATCCTTGACTAGACACTTTAGTCGTTGATGTCGATTTTCTCCTACGAATGAAAATGGGCATCTGGAAACGAAGTTTATTATTTGTTTCTTTTTCATTCAATCTGTATATTGGGTGTTTTTTTTATTCCAACATTTTATCATGCGCATGAATCGGAGAAACCATTGAACTGTTGCAAATTTCTGCTGGAATGTTGATGGAAATCTATAAAACTGTTTTAATGAAATGCGCACTTTCAATTTGCTTGGAGAGAATCCAGGAGAATGCAGGAGATTAACATGACAATTGACGCATTGTTGGTATTTTTTTTATGTTCTCGTTCCCACGAAAAAGGGAATCCTGTAATGTTCAGAGAACATCGTGAGAATCAAGGAAAATAAGGCAGGAATTGGTGTTCTTCTTGAATTTCTGGAGGTTATATGCCTCAGGGATCACCTCCCTCGGCAATGTGTTTCAGCTTTTCGTTGGATGAAAGAGTCTTTGTGAAGAGATGTTCTGCAGGTCTCCAAAGTGACCACGAAGGGGTGCGAAGCCTCATTTCGACGGGTTAATCTCGCGGTACCTGCCAAGGGAGGAACAATTGTTGATATTTCAGAAGAGCATCGTCCATGGAAATATCTATAAAATAGAGCCAGATCGCCAACTTTTCTAAGGTGTTCTAGAGAAGTGATTGACTTTCAGTATTCCAGGAAAGAATATTGAGGATTATTGAGATTCTTGAGAGATTCTCGTGAAATTTTAGGGAATAGAGTAACCATTAAAATTGTATCAGCCCCTTCTGATTCTGAGAATACATGAAAGGCTCTAAAGCTGACACACAACGATATCTGTTTTCATCAATGTGTTGTATATTCCATATTGTTCCATCAGTTCCATCATAAATTCTATCAGTACGGACTTTCTTCGAAGGAATCAAAAATAGATCCATTAGCTATCTGTGGTTCTTCTACTGTCAAGGGTAGCAAACCCTCCTTATTACGCCTCTGATCACAACAACATGAAATTCAAAATAATTCGCGGTAGTCAAGGTCATCATCTGACATTGCGATGACATGAAAACTACGGAAGAACATTCCTAACTCCTGTCTTAGATTAAGAAAGTTAAACATGTTTTTCTACAAACGCTTAACAAAGTAGCCTTTGACGCTTTCAAATTCCAGGACAAAGTTGACGTTTTCCCAGAAATGTCATTCTTTGAC